TGTCTCCTTCCTTCTCTCCGTGTCCCTTTTGGCTTCGCTAGGAGCTTTATTTATAGAGCTCCAGCCAGACGTGTTGGGGGGAAAGGGCATGGGATGTAAGCACGAGCCCCATGCCTCCTTTATTTTTTTGGCCATATCTGACAGTGGTACGTTTAGGTGATGGAGAGTAGGGCATGGTGAGATATGGTGGCAGTGGTGCCGTGGATGGCACCACTGTCATCCTCAATTTTTTTTTTTCATTTTTTGTTCTTTTTTTTGTATTTTTTGCTTTGTATTTTATTTTGTATTTTGCATTATTCTTGGTATTTTTTTCTATATTTCATATTTTGTATTTATACGTATTTATTTATTTATTCTAGACAAATTGATGTCCACAATTGTGTTTGGTATTATATGAAAAAAAAATAAATCATATAATACAAAATATCCAAAATAATCTTAAAAAAAGATTTAATACTTATTAAATCAATAATTTATAAAATAATTAAATAGTATTTTATAGAAAATTATTAAATATAAATCAATTTTGATAAAAATAATTTCTAAAAAAATAAATTCATTAACTTTTAGTCAATAGAAATTTATAATATAAAATATTTTTTAGAATAAGTAATTAAAAAATTAATTTTTTAAAATTTTTAGTGATAAGTTTCTTAGAGTAATGTTAATTATATTTGTGCGAAGATAAATTAGTCAAAAAAATAATATTAAAAATTAATTTCTCATAGTAATAAAATTTTTTCATCTCTTTGGTTTGAGAATTAAATTATTTTTTTAGATAGTGATTTTATCACTTCAATAATTTAAGATCACTGTTATCTAGAATTTTTAAATTACTATCAAATAAAATGATATAATTATTAAATATAAATCATCATAATTTTTAAACAAATTATTCCATACCAAAGAGAATTGAATGAACAGATAAATGAGCAAAGTACAAAATTTAATTATTGTTCTAAATCCATAACTCTAAAAATAATACTAAAAATCTTCAGCTGCTTGACCTAATAATCAAATAAACCTTAAAGAAGACATAAGATTGAGGTTCGACCCTAACCTCTTCCCCTCCCCCTATTGATGTAGGGCTCTGCCCCTTAAAATAAAATAAATAAATAAAAACAATACTAGAGGCTATAATTTTTCTCCCAATGTCAAGAAAATATATATTTAGGTCTTGTCAAGCATAAAGTTAACAAAATGATATCATGCATGTTTTAATGAGATTAAATTAATTAATTAACCTCATGATCATAATTTAAGTTTAACTTTTTTTTGTCTTAATTATAGCATCTTTACATTTTTACGATCTTTTGAAACATGCATTAAAACTTCAAATCATGGTAAAAATCTTTGAACCTTTTGCTTTTTATCCCTTAATGATGATTATTTATAGTCAACCAAAGACCACAAATCTTTTATGTGGTTGTCTTTCACATCAATTGAGAGGGCTAATGAAATTTATGCCAAACAAGAAAAGCATATCCTTTGCTTTTCATTTTTTGATTTTTTTAAAAATTTTTTATATTTAGTCTCAATCTTTGAATGAATACAAAATGAAATTTTCTATTGAAAATGACATTAAAGGCCAATAGAAAAAAGTAAAGTATCTATTGTTTTGAAGTTTTGAGGTTTAGACACATTTTTCTTGTACCTCCAATATGAAAAAAACAAAAAAGCCCAAAAAATGTGTTCTATGAATATATTATTAGAGAATTGCCATTCAAGTCAATGATGAAAGGGATATGTTGAATAAAAAAGTTAAAGGAATTGGATCATATTTGTTTAGGATTGTGAATATTCTTCAATTTTTGTTTACATTAGTTTATTTTATTTTGTAATTTTAGAAAGAAAGAATTATAAATTAATGAACAAAATAAATGTATTTAGAAAATATCATTTTCACCAACAACAACAAGAAGACATTATGCACATTCGGATGGCTAATTGTTGACTATATATAAAGAAATTAAAATATTTTCAGATTTTATCATGTAATCACAATTATTCAATATCTAAGACACATTTAATGTTTAAAAAGTCTTTTCATCCAAATGTACAAATCACAAGAAAGAGTTTACATGAAATTATCATAAAAGTTATGCTTTACAGCTATTCTATTGAAAGAGTTAAAAATAAACAAGAATAAAATGTTGTTTTTTTTTTTTTTTGAGTTCTTATGTATGCAATGCATTTGAGAAAATGATATCATTGTTAAGGCATTGAAACATGGTACAGCCTGCCGTCCAGCCAATTATACTGTGGCCACGGTTAGCCTCCATAAAAATTTTATTCATCCAATTAAAATTCCTGCCGCCCTTTTTTTTTTCCTACAAGAAAAATCTTACGTGTTGAGCCTATTTATTGCAAACGATCAATCATCGTGTTTCATGATTTCTCCCTATTTGTCCCATATCGAAAAAAATTTTTATTTACTTTGAAAAAGATGTTCGAATTTTTTCTATACAAAATATATATATTTGATTTAAATACTTGAATGTTTGTATTTTATCAAATTTTATCATTTTGATTATGAAAACCTAACAGTCAAATATTATATATAAATGGAACAAACACATAATTGCCAATTATTTTTTCCCTAACTTTTTAATAAACATTTTTATAATTTATAACTTATTTTAATTTAATATCAAAGTTTGTTTTGACTCCTAAAAATAAAACTTTTTTTTGTTACATTAAAAGGATAAAATTTTAATACAAATAATAAAAAAAAGATAAATTTAATTTCAAATCAGACTCTTCATATTTCTCTCAAATGTCTTTAATTATAAAATTAAAGGTTTGGAGATAGTAAAAAAAAAAATTTATATAAATATATATATAAAACGTAATGGAAATACAAAAAATTGTCCCATTAAAAATTCCAAATTTCTTCCTAACAAGGGTTGACATACTGATGACTAATAGTTTCTTGTTGTACAAAAGAAAAAAAAAAATATATATATATATATATATCAAAAGGAGCTAAAAACAAAGATATGCGATAATGGAGAATTATATAACTTAATTTTGTTTTGGATTATTATAAAAATGGGATGTTCCTGCCGAAATATTGGAATTTGGTCTTAAAATTATAATAAAATTAGCCATTTTGGCGCCACTCACGGTGCGAAAATGTTGACCTAGAATCTAAACACATGGTGATAAAATAATTTTGTCCCACCATGATTGTGACTACTTTTTCTTTTTATTTGATTTACTAAAAGGAAAAACATATATAGCAAAATAGATAATTTCAAGGAGCTATATCTTTCTTTTGTCAACTAAATTTTAAATTTTGATTTTTTATATAAAATATTTCAAGAATAAAATTAAATCGAGGTGGGTCGATGATTTTTTAAGCCACTTGAAAAAAAGATTAAATTTAAATAAAACTTAAATTTGTAATTATATAATATTATCTTTTCTTATTGGTATTTGTTAAAGTTATATTATGAAAAGTTGTAATTATATATTATATTTTCTTAAATTTAGTGAAAATAGTGTATTAAATAAAAAAATATTTTTTAAAAATTAAATAATCATAATCAATACTTATAAACATTCCTTTAATAGATTCAAAATGAAATAATGAATTAACACAGTGCATTGATGATTGAAAAGAGAGAGAGAGAGTATCAACATAGTGTGAGCATAAAATTTATTGTTCTTCTGAAAGTCTTGTAAATGCTGTTCACAAAGCTGAACCCAGAAATTTTACTCGAAGTGAGAATAATCATATTCCCACGTTGTTTGGCCTGCTCTGCAACTGTCAACTTTACCCTACTTTCTCAGAAACTTTAAGATTCAAGCTCCATTTGAGAGACCGATGAGAATACTTCCACTGCTTCAATCAAAATGGGAATTTTATAATTGAATTTTTGAAGATTCAATTATAAAACCACTCTCTGATACGGTTAGAGCATTTTCACTTGTCTCTCAAATAAAGTCCGATGAAAATGCTTCTATTGCATTAAAAGGTTCATTTTATGATTGAATTCTTAAAGATATAGTCATAAAATCAATCCTAATTGCAGTGAGAGCATTTCCACCGACTCCCAAATGGAGCCTCGAGCAACAGTTTTGAAGGACAAAATAGCCTTATTTAATTGAGACCACTTCGGCTTATTGGAATCAGATATTTTGGATTTCAACCAGCTTTTGCTCTTTTCACTTTTCCTGCTACCACTTAAATGTGCACCCACTATCACATGGAATCCAATGGCAATTCATCCTGGAAATTCAGACTTGTTTGATTTTGTTTATCTTGTTGAAATTTCATGATCATACCTTTTTATTATTCTTTACCATTTTCATTAATTTTTAGATTAAAAGTAATGGGAGTAAAATATTTCAAATGAAGTTAAGAAAATTTGCCAGTACTAAGATCGATCCCAACCTCGTATCTGGCATAATCCATTTGTCCTTTCATTTCCATCAAATTTTAACAATTCAACCAATGTTTCATGGGTTAGTAATTCATAATTGCAGTCTTTAGCCTTTGTCCTTCCTATCTCTGGTATCCAATGGGAAATTATGTTCTTGTTCTTGCACAAAATTTGCTCAACGGGAGAGAACAAGCACCCCAAAAGCAAACACAGCTACAAAACAATCTCTATTATGCTAGAGCAAATGAACCCAAATAAGCGTCAACATCACTTCGGAATGGCGAAGCAACATCCCATTTTTAGTAAACTCTCTTCACGTTGATGCACTAACAATAGAATGAAGTAAAAATAATTTGTCTGAAACTCGGAAATCAAGTCATGTTTGTGAGAAAAGAAGATCAGCAGGATATAGAACATAAGGTCACCAAGTTCCGAACCATGTCAGAAAACATAACACTCTATAGGTTCAGTTTTAAAGGTTGCAATGAACAAATTGCAAAATTTTCTGTTCAGCTTCTTTTATGCCCTTCGAAAATTTATCATTAAGTAATTAAAAATACTCACGACAGAAAAGCGTTGTCATTGTGTGTCCAAACAAAATATGTAAAGAAAACATATTGAATTCCTAAAATCTAACCTTTGCTGTCAAAAGGAGGCCCAAAATCGTTGGAAGCTAGTAAGCACAAGCATCCCTCCAGTTAAAAACTAAGGCTCAAAATCCAAAGAAGCCAAGCTCACTGGCCTTCTCCTTCTCAAAAGTCTCAAAGTATTGATAAATGATTGTGACTGCAAGAAGAATACCAGTTCCTGACCCAATTGCTCCCATAAGATCTGCCAACACTGTGAGTGCACCAATGCACATGCCTCCAAATGCAGCAGCAGTCGGAATGTAACGGTTCAGCTCTTTCTGTAAGCTTCCCTCACGGTGGCCAGGCATAACCATTTGTTGTTCCTGCAAAACAGCAGTAAAAAAATGGTTCACCAATTGCACAATGAAGCCTGATGCTGTTCAACTGATGATCTACATAGCTTACTCATTTCCCTTGTGTACTCAATCATCCCAGACGCTCCAAAGTCAACTTTGGTATGAAGACTTAAACCTTTTGAAACTTAAGGGAAAAATTAAGAAAAATTTAAGTGCAACTATGAGGGGAAAGTATCCACATCCAAATATTGAAACTGAGTCTAACAAGCATAGATATCTATCATATAACCTTGACAACCACACTACCACAAAGGAGTCAAATCCCCCCAAACAAATACTGATTATGTAATTTAAAGAATATTCAGGATTTAATAATGATAATTGTTAAATAATCTAACATAAAATGAAAGTTGTCTACAAGCATAGGTGGAATTGACGTGGTAAAGGGGTATGGGTGAGACTTTTAGATTTTTAGGTATGATATGGACATTTTCAGTGTAAGTCTTGAAGTTTTTTTATTCTTTTGTTGGCAGCTAGCCAGCTACCCAGGGGTGGCAACAGGAAAGCAGGGGGTTGGCTCAGGGTGGGATACAGGGGATTAATTGGAGGGTTAAGCCAAGTGGGTGTAGGGTATGCTTTTTATTGAATATAGAGGTCGATTTAACTTATGCTATTCTATTATCTTTTGGTTTATTTGAAACATAAAATAATCTTATTATATCTATATACCAAGTTACTAGCTATACGTTTCAGGATATCATTTACAATATGACACATTCTATCAATAAAGAAACCACAATATAAAAACATAAATAGGTAAAAACTTTATTTATAATTATTGCAATCTTCATACTTTTTCCTAATTAAAAATTCATCTAACCACATAAGTAGGTCAAAATTTTGTTTTCTGCAAAAAGGTTGTACTCCAAGTTTTTAGCACGTGTAAACCAACAAATACAAAGTGAAAACGCAAAAACAAGCTTACAGAAACAAAGTAAACCTAAAGATGGGTTTTCACAGAAGATCACATACCCTGAGCTGCTTGGCAACATCTCTAGCAGATGATCCTGAAACTTCAATCCAAGTTTTTGAGAACAATGCACATGCTGACAACATAAACACAAGATAAAACAGCGCATGAAAAGGATTGGCTGCCATATCAGCTAAGCTGCAAGATAATATAAACATAAGTGTCAGCATAGGTTCCTAAGGAAGATACAATCACATTCCCAGGGTCAAAGTTATTGATTTAACCAACAAAAGTGTCAGCAGTAGAGAAAATGCCGGAGAAAATATTTGTTTGAAAAAAGGAAAGGTTCAATTCACCTTGATGGTGCAGTGATATAATACGCAAGGCCACCAACAGGAATGGATTGACCATTTGAATATTCAGATTCCTTCCACTTGCCCAAGAGATTCACAAAAAAGTTTCCACTGTACCTCCTGTACAGTAACTGCAGAGGGATACATGACTAGATGCATTATATAACAAAGCAACAGATATAGACGGTCATGTGTATAGAAGTAAACTACGGTACCTGAGAGATGAAGTAAAGGTTGGAAACAAGAGCAGAATGTAGAATGATGGGCATGTTAGAGGTGTAGAACAGCTTGATAGGATATGAACCTTGCTGCCCACGGGCATTCTTTGATCTCACAGGCAATACCACACGGAACCCTTGGAAGTAGATAACAATAAGAAAAACCAGGACTGTAGCAAGCAGATTTGTTACATTTGGAAGATTCTGCCGATAAAAGGCTTCTCGGAGAGCACGAATCTTGTTTTCTCGAGTTAAAAGATTATGGACAAATGCAATAACAGCCCCTTCAAACTCGGCACCCCTGCCACTGTTGATGGTTGTGGGGCTAAATGCCTTCCAGATTATGTTTTCACTGCAAATCAATCAAATCTCTTTTGAGTGCTAGCAATTGTAATTCTACCAATGATAACATCATGGAACCACACTCTGCTACACAATATTAGTGGTAAGACAATCAGAATTCTTAGTACACTTTTGTAGTAGATCCAAAAGACAGAAATAAAAATAAAAATGCTAAAAAAGCTCACCAGATATTGGTTGCTATGAAAAGGGAAATTCCAGAGCCTAGACCATATCCTTTCTGAAGAAGTTCATCCAGACATATAACAATGATACCAGCAAAGCAAAGCTGAAGGATGATGAGAATGGCATTTCCTACTCCAAGTTGGCCGACACTACCATACATCCCTGAGAGAACATAGGCAACAGCTTCGCCAATGGCTATCAAGATACCCAACAACTTTTGTGCACCATTTCTGGAAAGAAAAAGTATTCACCATACAAAATTATACATATTGGACACCAAAGAAGCAATTTGCAGCTTAAGGAAAAAAAATACAAGCCACCCGATTGCTTAGAAAAACCTCAAAGAGGTAAAGCACGAACACAGGTGTAAGCATGCATGAGTAATGCACATAATGTACACCAAAAGTTGCACTCCTACATGTAATAAAATTAGGTATCCCCAGAGACTTTAATCATTTTACAGCACAACCCTGAAGAAAATAAATCAAGCTGCCATTTTTAGCAAAGTTACAGATGCCAGTGTCTGACATCACTTCTAAAGCTACAACCAATAGAAACCTTAAGAGTAAAAGTCTAATGGAACTCATGAAGCCATACAACACTGAGAAACAGAAAGCTTGCAAAAAAAAGTAATCAATTTCAGTCAGTGACAATAGTTACTTAATAATGTAAAAAACAGAATTAAAAGTTTACCACCCTAAAAGATACTTACAAAAGGGCACGATCTTCACGAACATTGTTGTCCACTTCAATGATTTTCGAACCAGCAAGGAGTTGCATCACCAGTCCAGATGTCACAATGGGAGTGATCCCAAGCTCCATGACAGTCCCACGATTTGAAGCAAGAATAACACGCATCCAATAGAATGGATCAGCACCAGTTGTTGAATGTATGCCATAAAGTGGGAGCTGGCTACAAACCAAGAAAATGAAAAGAGAGATCACAGTGTATATGACCTTCTCTCTGAAGGGAACTTTCCTGTCAGCACTCTGAACTTCAGGCAGAAATGAGAGAAATGGTCTTACAAGATGAAGCACTCTAAATCCACCCCCCATCTTGTTTTATCCAACTCTAGAAACTAAACTACTGCAACCTGCACCAAAAATTCAGAGACATAAATAAGCAGATAAAGACGATAGAACTCCAAATGGTCCTAGCAAAATACAACCCTTACTCCATAAAAAGTCTGTTCCACATTGGAGTTGTACTTCTAACTCTTAAAGCAATGTATCACAAAAAACATGCAATTGACATGGGATGATTTCCAAGTTTGGCCCATCAGGCCCCTGCTAATTTATACCGTGCCCAACCTTTGGAAAACTCGAATTGGCATGCTATACATCTCAGATACACAGGGAGTTGAACAGAGATAAAATATTTTACTTCCGAATTGTAAAATGAAAGGGCAAAAGAAGGTAATCTTGTTCTAGACAAAAATTGAAGGTTTTCTTGATTATTCAAAATTTGAGTGAAAGATTTAAAACACCCAGACAATCCAGTAGTTTCCAGCCCTAAAATAACCTTGTAGATCGTGTTTTAAGGGCAAGGTCAACCATGAAAATTTAGTTAAAAGTGAACAACACTGTGGAACATCCCAAAATAGAAAGGCATCTAACAACACAATGATAGAGAAGTTAAAACACTCTAGCGAAGATTACCCCCGTTTGGAAGCGGAAAAGAGAATAATTCAACATCTGAAACTGTTAACAAAACTTCTTTTTTTTTTTCAAAAAATAACTTTTTCGAATCTCCGTAAAAACATATTTCTCCTCTTGATTTCATTTGACAAACACAACTGTTTTCGCTTCTGAAAGGAAGCTCAATAACAGAAACTCTACATATATACATTATATAACCTACCATTAAGATCTTCATAAATTCAACTCTCGTACTTATATAGGGCAAGAAGCTCCTAAACCCACAACCTAAATTGACGGATAGATTCCCCTTCAAAAATTGTCTAACCAATGATCCAAAATGCACTCATAAAAAACACAGTTCACCTATACGCGAGGTCTCAATCGATCCAAAGGTTCTCGTGTAGATGGCCCCAAATTCCTAATGAATGCATTGAAAATAAACTACTGGTTCGAAAAGTACTAAAAGGAATCTAGAAGAACTAAAAGGGATCTAGACTCGTAAAATCAATTCAAATTTTCTTCCACTTGAAACAATTCAGCCTTAAATTAGCAGAAATTATTCCAAATTTGAAAGAAAAATACATTAAAATAAAAAAAAAATTAGAAAAGAAAACCCTATATTTCTGCCATATTCGCAAAACCTTAATTAAATGCATTAGCAAAATCAGATCTTCCAAAGAAAAACAAAAGCACGATTTAATTATCATAAAAAAAACTAATAAAATTTTCTAAAATGAAAATAAAATCATGAATTTGTAAATCATCAAAGATCTAACAAAGAAACGCGAGACCAACCGTACGCACTGAAAGACAAAGGAACCGTACCGGAAAGCGAGGGTAATTTCTGAGAGGAAAATGTTTTGCTTGAGCTGGGTTTTTAAGAAGGGTTCCGTAAATGGCTCCGTTTATTAAAAAAAAAAAAGAAAAAAGGATACGACGCCAGGCAAATGCGGAGAAGGCACGTGGGCAACGAAATGACGTGGACAGATAGACGGCAAGTTTGACCCGGATTTGGTTGAATTGCTCTCAAATTTGTCAACGGGAGTATTGCATTACTTGGCACGTCCATCCTTTTCTGGAAAATAATATATCCTAAATTATGGGTTTTTTTTTTTTTTTTGGAATTTTTCCGCTCTAATCAAAACCTAGTTCATTTTTATTTGAATCATACTACTTATTTTATTAATTTTATTTTAAATTTTTATATCATCTTATATGATATATAATTATTGATATAAATTTAAATATGAATCTACTACTTTATGAAAAAATCAATTAATTAAAATTAAAATATTACAATAAAAATACTCTGTCAAAAGGTACAAAATTTTAATATAAAAGTGATGGAAACGCAAAATATTTTTTATTAAAAATTTTCAATTAATATTAACTAAAATTTCCGTACACTCAAAAAAAGGACGAGAGAGATAAAAAAAAATCGGTGAAAAAGAAAGTTGTAAAGTTTGAATATTTTTAATTGCGTGTGAAAAAATATTAAATTTTACAATTAAATTTTTATGTTGTATATTTATTATGATTAACCTTTTTTTAATAATTTTTAATTAAATTAGTATTTTTGGACTCACAACATCAAACTTGGATATAAAATTTTATTTTTAGTATAAATTAAAATTAACAAAAGAAGAAATTCAATTTCTTTTTAAAAAAATTTTTAATGTGCTCAAATTTCTAAAAGGCCCATTTATATTAGGTAAGTTAAATTTGGTGCAAAGGCTTTTATTGAACCTACTAGCCCAATCAAATCGTTTCTACTAACTAGTAAGTCCATAAAGACTGAAATTTTGAGTTGAGAGAAGTCGCTTTAAAAAAATATTATAAGATATTTTTTTTAAAGGAAGTGCAGTGAATAATTATAATATTTAAAAGTATGTATAAAATATAAAATATTATAAATATTGGTTAATATAAAAACAAATTTATCTTAAATACATTTTTTTACCGCAAAAAGCACATTTTGAGGTTTTTTTTTTTTTTAATTTGGGTTTGTAAACTAGACTTTTAGATTAAGAAGATATATTTTTTATTATTTAGTACTAAGCCCAAAAGCTTTTAAGAATTTCTTTTTTATTTTTGTTTTAAAACAAGTAGACACTAACTTTCTTAAAAAAAAAAAAAAAAGTGAATTCACAAATGGTAGAGAGAAAGCACTAATATTATAGTCAATTTAGGATATAATTGACATAACCAAATTTTTTTGTCCAAAATCAATGTATTTAGTTTTGTCCATGATTTTTCTACTTACTTTTTTTTTATTTTTGGAAAAATTAATCTTATATCTTATATAAATTTATAAAAATCAAAGCCTTTGATAAAAAGAGAAATAGTCCGTCAGAGATAGCTTACATTTTTGACAAGGATGGATTTTAAAAATTATCATGTGTTCTCTAATAAATGAATTCTATTTATTGAATACATTTTTATTATTTTTATAGTAACATTTTATTACTTAAAAAAGAATTAGTTAGACTAAATTAATTATATTTATTACCTTTTAAATATCCAATATTTTTATCTTATATGAATAAGTTACGAATAACTTGGTTAATAATACAAATAAAATAGAAACTAAATGAAAAGCTAATTACTCATGAATGTATTTTCATATATTATAATTACTTATGAAAAATTAAATAAAATTCAATGTAGTAAATAAAATAATTATGTTTTTTCCACTCCCATATTTATTAAAGAATCAATAATATAGTTTCCTTCCCTAAGGAATGGGTAAAATCAACAATTATATTTTTGCTTATCTTATATAAATATATAATAGTTAAAACCTTCGATAAAAAAGAAAATAGTCTAATTTGAATAGTTTATATTTTTTACATATAGATGAGTTTAAAAATTACCATTGTTTTTTAATTAAATGTACTTTATTTATTTAAAACATTTTTATTAGTTTTTATAGTAACATTTTTATTACTTAAAAATAATTAGTTAGACTAAATTAATTACATTTATTACATTTTAAATATCCAATATTTTTACCTTATATGAATAAGTTACAATTAATTTGGTCAATAATATAGATAAAAAAAAAGAAACTAAATAAAAAGCTAATTACTCATGAATATATTTCCATATTTTCTTATTACCTATGAAAAATTAAATGAAATTTAATGCAGTAAATAAGGAAATAAAAATGAGTCAATTAATGAGTTGACAATAATGATATAATTAAATTAGAAAAAATTTTGTTTTTTTGTTTTTGTATTTTTAAAGTCAACATATTAGACAAGAAATCAAAATTTGTAATTTTGAAGGAAAAATTGCATTAATTCTATGTCTTTTATTATTTATTACATTAAACGATCAATAATAGTAACTTTTTAATACATTTACGATAATATTTCTTAATAATAATATAAATACAAATGTTCTTCCAAAAAAATTAAACAAATCAAATTTGGCTATTTTCCAACTTTATTTTACTATAATTTTATCTCTATTATCTTATAAAAATTTTATTATGTGGTCTTGAGTGCTATTTTTTTTTTTTTTAGTTTATTGAGATTTTACTCCTTTTTTTTTTTTTTGTGCAATTGTTAGGTTTTATTTTTAGAATAGCAATTTTATCAACTATATATTTTAGTATAATTTTTTTCTTTTCTAATTTATAATTTAAAGGTTAATCTTTGGTTTTTTTTATATATATGTTGAATATGAATTTGCTAAAGAATTATTTTCTTTTGCTAGGTATTAATTAACATAGGCTTAATGAATTTGGTTTATTTTATGAGGTTACTCAATAAGATTATATTAATTTGCAAGGTTTTACAATCGCATGCCAATAATGATTGATTAATTTGGATGCTATCATGCTAAGCGGCTATGCATTGATTGGGAGCCAATTCATAAGAATTTTTAGATATTGTATTATAAGTCAAATTGATCTAAAATGATATAATTGATTATGATCTAACTAAATATCTATTGGTTTCAATTGAAAATGAAAACATTATTTTATAAGTTTTCAGTGAACAAAGCTTTAGATGACGAAAATGTGTTAATTTGTAAGTTTTAAAAATCTTATAAAAATTTGAACAAATTCTTTTATTTTATGAAATTTACCATTTTTATCATTTAACAAGTCGTAAAATTTTAGAAATACTAAACCTATAATTGAAACTCTTATACCTAATTTTTCATATTCTTCTATATATTTTTTCAAATAAATGTTTTTAATTCAATTTCATTTTTAGATAGATAGATATTCCAAGATACCATATCGACCAACTTATAACAGAAGCATGCATAATATTGAAATAAAAATGCGAACGGTTTGGTTTTAATATCAGTTCAACTCCTTCATTATATAAGATATATATATATTAATACGAGTCCTTCATCCATTAGAAGAAAACATACATACAATTAAATTTTAAATTTAATATATTAATATTACAACAAGTTTCTTACAATTAATATCATATTTTATTTTCACATTGATTTTTTAAACATGTAGTTTTATCTAATTAATTATTTTTATGTTCACTTAAAATTAGGTAAATATATATGTATTAGATTTAAAGCTATCATTATATCTTAAATATTCAACACAGATTCACGATTTTGAAATGATCAGAGAGTTTTTAATTGTTACAAGTAAAATTAGAATTGTTGATTTTGCATATACCTTTAAATAAGCAAAATAGCAAACTATATTGTTGATTCTTTAACAAAAATGGGAGTGGAAAAAACCAAAATTATTTTATGCCTATTGGTAGTAAACTCAAAGGAGATTAGGTTGTGTGTATGTTTTTTTTTTTTTTTTGGAGAAATTAAATTGTGTGTATTATTAAGTATTGTTACAATTGTTTTTCTATTCATACATTGGAGTCTTATTTGATGAGATTTTCAAATTTTGTAATCCACCGGTTTTATGAATGAAATTATCTTTTTGAATGGAAAAAAAAACTCTATATCATACTTTTTTTTGTTTTGTACTTTTATAGCTTTATTTTTAATAATTAAATCAAGGTTATTTATAAATTGTAAATAAGATGATGATAAAAAAATTATTTAGGGTGACTTAGTTTTTTTATCAACCATTATCAATATTTTTGTAATCATGAAAATATAATTTAAAATTTTCTCTAAAATTGTAATTATATTAAAATTTTAAATAATATTATATTAAAAAAATTATTATAGATACACTTTACTGTGCATAACACAAATATAAAACTT